CTGACGCCGGAGCTGGCTATTACTGGACCTCACTGGTAGGCAGGGAGGAGGCTGGTATTGGTTTGTCCTTAGCTAGACAGACAGATGAAACCTAAACTAGTATAACTTCAGTGGCTTAAGTTTTGTCTCTGATCCTTTCAGGGCTAATTGAGTGAAGGTACCCCAGATTATAGGTTTGTGGTTCCAGCTCTACCAGCGTAAACTTTTCATCTGTCCATGCCCAGAGTTATAACCCTATGTAAAATAGGAAGGCAGCCTAAGCTTTGGTTATAAAGCCGAATGCTAATGTTCGCTGCATAATGGTTCATTTTTCCTGCTTTCATTCTCTTTGCAGTTTATACCGATGCCTGTGCTTTATGGCGTGTTCCTTTACATGGGCGTTTCATCACTCAGAGGCATTCAGGTACACAATTTTATAGCATATTGCATGCGAATTATCTGACTGTGGCCTGTGCATTAAACCACAGAATCACGGGCAATGAGGGTGGGAAGGGATCTCAGGAGGTCACATCTAGTCAACCCCCTGCTCCAAGCAGGACCAGCCCCAACTATATCATCCCAGCCAGATCTTTGTGAAGCCGGGCCTTAAAAACCTCCAAAGATGGAGATGCCACCACCTCTCCGGGTATCCTGTTCCAGTGCTTCACCACTCTCCTAGTGAGAGAGTTTTTCCTTATATCCAACCTAAACTCCCCTTGCTGCAACTTGAGCCCATTGCTCCTGGTTCTGTCATCCGTCACCACTCAGAGCAGCCCAGCGCCATCCTCTTTGCAACCCCCCTGCAGGGAGTTGAAGGCTGCTATCAAATCCCCCCATCAGTCTTCTCTTCTGTAGACTAAATAGCCCAGTTCCCTCAGCCTATCCTCAAAAGTCGTGTGCGCCGCCCCTGAACCACTTTCGTTGCCCTCCACTGGACTCTCTCCAACTTGTCCACATCCTTTCTATGGCGGGGGGCCTTGAGATCCTGCATGTTCAGGACCCACAACTCAAGTGATGCGCGACAACTTCTTTTCAGTTCTTCGACCGCTTGAAGCTGTTTGGGATGCCAGCGAAGCACCAGCCCGACTTCATCTACCTGCGACACGTCCCCTTGCGAAAAGTGCACCTCTTCACCCTGATCCAGCTGGCTTCTCTGGTTTCGCTGTGGGCCATAAAGGCGTCACCTGCTGCCATCGTCTTTCCCATGATGGTAAAAGAACCAGATGTTTGCTGTAGTTAGGCCCAGTCCTTTCCAGGCTGTTTTAAGGATCAGAAAAGGCTGTAATCTTAATTGCACTATGGTCTCCAAGGCACAAGTGCCCCAAAGGGACCCGAAATATAATTAAGAACACTTTCTTTTCTCTCAGAGAGGTCTAAATAAGAAGAGAGTCCTAAAGGCCTCATCTGTAGCTCTTAAACACGTGAAAAGTCCCATGGAAATCTTCTTTTAAGAGTGTGCTAGGGCAGAGGGTTTTTATAAAAGGTATTAAATTAACTCCAGACAGGAGCTGGACTTGAATTCAGTGGCGTCAGTCTAAGATATCAGGTGTATTTTGTAGTATTGGTTACTAAGTGTAGGGTGGATTAGCACTTAGAGTTTTATCACGTCAAATGGTGGAGACGAAACCAGGGGGAGGCTGTAGAGTTGATTTTGACTGGCCTTGGCCAACAGATGCTCTCATTACAGTTTGCTTTGTCTGTATTCTGATTTTAGCTAGCGCCTCTTTCGATGCAGGCCAGGCCTGTAGACCCAGTTCAAAGTTGCTTTGCATTACCGCTGCAGATGGGTCTTATTGGAAATGGAAAATGAGGGCCGCCGTGTTTACAGAATCGTGGAAGGTTTTTATGACAGCGAAATACTGTCCGAATACAAAAGCTGAGCAAATGGAGACCCCATTTGGTCTATTGTTCCCTCTAGTGTCTCGTACCTGAGTTGACTGCAAATTCTAATGCACCCGCTGGCTTCAAGCCATCTGTGAACTGACTTGCTGCTCATTTTTATTCATAAAGGTTTTGGCTCTCGTCTTTGTTCGGAAAGTCTTGGATTTCTGCTTCTCAAAGAGGGAGCTGAGCTGGCTTGACGACCTCATGCCAGAAAGCAAGAAGAAAAAAATAGAAGATGCCAAAAATAAAGCCAAAGAAGAGGAGGTAATATGCTTTGAGGCTTTGGGGCCAGGCAGCTTTCTTGAACTTTGAACATCACTTTCGTAAGACTTTGTAGACTGAAAATTGGTTGGAGGACCAGACGTAAATAGGAATATAATGTATAATGCTAGCGATGGGAACATTTTGATTTTGATGTGCTTTGAAATCGAAACTGGTCCAAACAAGTTGTGTTGAATTGTTCATTTTTTGTAGGTAATGAGTCGTTTTGGCGGGATCAAAAGGTTATATTTTTTGCCTGTTTTTTGATGGTGTTGCTTAGCGAAACATTTCACACAGCTCTACGTTTGGAGCTGTTGTCTTAAACCGGCCAGAGATTCAGACATGCAGCATTGCACTTGAGTCATGTGATCAAGGTTTTCTTTGCAACCGCACGAGTTAGGATATTATGACGTTTTTCCGTAGACGTTGAGATTCTGCATAATCCGTCTCCTGCTTACCATAGTTATGCACCAGGGGCATATATCAAACATCTTTTTCTCTAACGGATCTGTTCCCCTGTTAGTTGAATGAACCTAATCAGAGCTGAGCTTTATTCCTTGCACAACAGAGAGAAAACTTGGTTTGGGGTTTTTTTGTTGTTGTGTTTTTAATGACAGGAGTCTCAGAAGATGATGGATGCTGCTGAAACAAATGTCATTGAGCTGCCTCTGGGGAAAGCTGAATATTCAACTGCTCCAAAGCAAAATAACAATGGGAGGTAAAAACACCCCAGCGGGGTTTTCTCTCCGTTTCTTGTTCCGTTTGCATCGTGCCATCTTAAATATCTTCCCACGTCGGACTAAAAACTCAAGGAGTTTTAAAATGCAGCTTGAGGAGTGTGTGCATGGGGGTGATGCGATACGGTTGCCTGCTATAACAGAGAGGTGGGGTTGAGAGGCCAGGAGATACTTGCTGCTAACATATATGTTTAAGTGTAGTAACCTGATTGCTGCCCGATATCTTCATTGCAGGGTGGATCCTTCAGAGATTAACATCTCCGATGAAATGCCTAAAACGACGGTATGGAAAGCTCTCAGCATGAATACAGAAAAGCTCTAGATCCAAGGAGACGAGGTACAGCCACGGCGCACAAAGCTGCCTTCTCTCTGCAGACGTCCATGGGCAAGCTCGTGGGGTGGGACGGGGAGAGAGACTCAGGGCTGGGAACCAAGACTGGTTTCTACTGGTGAGAGGGGAAACACCTCACCCTGCTAGTGGGATGCTTGGTGAGAAATGGCCACAAGAATAGCTGGGCAGGAAACCTGTTCCTTCGTACGGGTAGAAATGATTGAACAACTGACAGCGGATTTTAGCCTTCTCTTGCTAATGATGCCGTTTCCCTCTCTCTGCTTAGTTTTTCCATTTAGGGATCTTGGCTTTGGAGGAGGCGACGAATGAGAAGATGACTCAGGGATGAGCCAAGACACACAGACAGGGGGGAAAAAAATACTTTTCGAAACAGAGGAAAGGAGAGAAAAAAATTAGTACCCTCCCCGCCCCCAGGACTTCCTTCAGTCAAGTAACTGGATTCATATTAAAGCCATTCAGAAGTTTTCAATTATCTTTGGTGTGCTTTGGTGGGCATTCAGTATCTTCAGACCAGCAAGCTGAGGTCCATATTGCAGTCAGCAAGAGTTCAGTGTTAATTCAGCCTCTGTATGTGCGTGTGCGTGCGTGTGTCCTGTTGCGGTTTCGTAGTGGTAGAGAGACTGCTGCTGCATAACCATTCAGCGCTCTCTATTTTTTTTTTAATTTGATCCCCCCCCCCTTTAAAATATAAACACTGAATGTACAAAATCGGTGCCTGATGTTTCTGAGGCATCCTTCTTTTCCTAGTTTTTTTGCTAACTGGCTGCTAGTCCAGTTGGCTTCTCGGTTAAGTTTTATTTTCTCTTGTATTGCAAGATGCAATGTAGTCCCAGACTGGGACAGCATAATGCGAGTGTGTGCAGCAGAGTTGGGCTAAATGTGGGATTAAAAGATAACTGTAATGCAGTGGGTGCCCCTGCCTGGCATTGGCCCTGTGCAGTTGCCCTAATGAGAAGCTGGGGTATGCATGCGCCTTTATAGACCCAGGAAATAACAGGAGAGATATAGAGCTCTTGCCCTAATGCCACCCCTGCCAGAGGGTCGTGGGTATTGTTGCTCATGCAGGCTGAGCTCAGTGCCCTTTCCAGGAGCAGCCATTCATCCTCCACCATGTCCCACCCTCCTGTCATTTGTTATTCTTGGGATTCCCTGAAATAGGGGGGAATTTCCCATACTTCCCACTGTCTCCACCCCATGTGCATCTCTCCATTAGCTCCCCCCACCAAGGACCAGTGCCCTCCTGGGTTGGAAGGAACAGGGAGGGCAGCTGCTGCCCTTTCTTCCCCCTACCATGGGGCAGGATTTGGGGACCCAGTAAAAGAAGGAAGCCTCCTTCACTTTGCCCTCTTTGGCTCCATCCAGCTGCCGGCAGCAGGAACAGCAAGCAGCAGATTTTGGCTGGCTGAAGCTTTCGGAGTTTCCTTATTTTCCTCCAAAACCAGGTGCCTGCCCAGGGAGCGGTCTCAGAAATTTTGGAGATGATCAGATATGGCCATCAAAAGTCCCTGCTTTACACACGGGCAGGTGGACATTGCCAAGCTATGGGCAGGGCCTCCCCTGGCCAGTGAGGAGTGGGAAAGGAAACTGAGGTGCACACAGACTTGCCTCAAGTCACACTGTAAAAATGTGCTGGGGATAGGGCCAGACCTCTGCTATCCTGATTGTTTAACCGTTTCAAGTTCAGTAGGTGTTTCCATGCTTTGCTGCATCGGGGCCTGCATTTAAACGACACTGCTTGTGGGAACAGTGGACTTCAGGTGCATATTGCAAAAGATTCAGCACTGTGACCCTTCGCTCCATAAACCTGATTCCATTTCATCACTGGAGGGTGCAAAACATGGCCTGTGACCTAGGCAACCAAACCAAAACCAAATGCTTTGCATGCTGGGCTGCTTGCTGTGAGCTGCTCTGGAGCCAGGCCTCGGACCCAGACCCCTTCTCATGTGCTACGCAGAATAGCGTTTCAGAAACAAATGGTTCTGATGGGAATTCATCTTTGTGGTCGCTGTGCAGAAAGGAAAGAGGTAAAACACTGATTGAGGCACAATTTGCTTCTGTGATCAGTCAGAAAAAACTATCACAGTTAGAGAGTCATGTGCGGCATGCCGTCGGACAGGCAGCAGAATGGGAGATAAGGCATGGAGCAGAAAGCAGAGCATCAGATCGAGCAGTGAGCAGAAAGCAGAGCAGCAGCTGGGGCAAGGGAAAGGGTTTGGAGTGGTACCGGGTTGATTTGTGGCATGCCTGCCAAAAAATAGTTGGCCCCCACTGACTCGGAGACTACCCAGGCTTTCTTTTTTTGTCACGTGCAGGCTTACAAATTATCACGGGCCACTCAGCTGATGAACCCCCTTCCAGAAACCCGAGTCAAGTCATGATCCAGCAAAACGTTTCAGCGTGTGATGCAGTGTAAGTTAGGGGCGGGCAATCATTTTGGGAAGAGGGCCGCTGACTGAGTTTTGGCAAGCCATTGAGGGCCGCACGACAGGTAGCCCAGGGCAGTTAAATATGAATTTTCTAACTTTTTTAGGGGTCCCGTGGGCCGGAGAGAATGGCCTGGTGGACTACATCCGGCCCCCGGGCCACATTTTGCCCACCCCTGGTGCAAGAGCATGTGCTTAAAAGCACATGCAACAACAATTAAGCGCATAATGCTTGGTAGAGCTAAAGCACTTCAGAGACAGTGAAGTGGCCAGAAAAGAAGTCTCAAAAGCACTTACTCAGCTAGGGAGGATGCTCCTAGTACAGGCATTATGGAAAACATCCATATGGCTGTCTTCTGCGCCACGTCCTCCCGTATAGGACATGCCCGGGGGCGGGAGGGCTGTGTCAGGGTGGGGCTGCAGTGATTCAGTACCCTGCTGTAGCTGGCAATACGTTCTTTAGGGAAAGAGCTGTTTTGTTTCCAAAGGCCATCGGGGGAGGAGCTCTGCACAGCTCCTCGCCTTCTTCTTTGCAGCCCATTCATGCCACGAACCTTTGGAATTTGTAAAAGCCATTATTAAAATACTAGCTGCCCATCACTGTTCCCCTAGCAGGGCGGGAGCAGCATGACCAGGTCACGTCTTCCATTGCAGCACTCCCGGGTCTCTCCAGAAATGCAGAGAGCTCCTGGAAGTGCCTCAATGACCATTACCTCTTGAATGGGTTGCAACTCAGCCTCAGCTACAAGCTGTAATGCCCTCTCTTCTCATTTGCAATCCTAAACTCTTTGCCAGCCGTATCCTTTGCTTTCCAGTCGTGTGGTCCATGACAGGGTTATGCACAAATAGCGGGTGGGTGGGTGGTGTGCGTGCTGTATATGTCCAAGCTGGACTAAAGGCTTCACAGAAGTAACTCAAACCATTTAAAAACTTGTACCCTCCATTTCAATGTCTTTTTATGCCACCGTCTTTGGTGAAAATGAAAATCAGTGTAGTTCATCGCAGGGGCATTTAGTCTTTTCATTGTACTTGAATGGAAAGGTTTGGGCTGCTTGACTATTTGGGTTCATTTTTAAACAGAGCTCCTCTAAACGTACCGTGGGATAAAGCAAAATCTCACGCTGATCCTAGCTGCCACAGGGCCAGCATCTGAAAGCTCCCAGCACCGAACAGAACGGAGTCGTCACGAGAGAAAGAAACCTCAGTAAATTAAAGCAAATAAACCCCAGAGGATGATAAAGCCGAGGGCCTTTCCTCCTGCTTTTGCTCCTCTGTGCATGGACAGTTTGTGTCTGGGAATGGTACTGACAGTCTCTGCTCTGCTTCCTTTCATGGGACTCGTGGAGCAATGCCTCAAAATACAATGAATCAGAACACGCAGTAGAGGCGACAGCTTTTATTAAACCAACTGGATTTCTGCAAAAAAAAAATTGCAAACATCTAGTTAGTCTAATAAAAGCTATCGCCTCTACCACACGTTTTGATTTCTTTTGCCTCGAGCCCAATACGGCTGCAACAAGGATACTCAAAATAAAACGCTCGTTTATTCTGGATGCCAAGTGCAATCCACGGTGCGGTGCAGGCTCCCCCTCTAGTGGCTAGACCGGGCCAGTTGAGAGGTTGATGGTTTTTGCTACGGCCTTTGAACCAAGAAGCCTGGGTTAATTCGAGCGTCTCCCCAGTGTTTCCTGCATTCAGACACAGCAGCGGTGGGTTCAGTCACCAATGACACCGCAGTGTCTAAAACAAGTTTCTGGGTGCTGTCAGGGCTCCCCAAGAGAAGAAGGAAACAGCTGATTTTCCTGACACTTTGAAAAGTAAGTTTTAGCTCAGTTCAAGATTGAAATGACCTGCTGTGTCTGTAGGGCGAATGCCGTTCTACCAGCAGGCAGGAGACTCCTTTGATTTCTCTATAGCCCCTAAAATATGGTCCCATATCATACCATATTGATTATGGTAAATCATTTGAGGAACATATTTTTCATTTAAAAATAATAGCATGACGAATAATGGAAAGGGATGACGCCACCCCGGCCGTGTCCTTAAAAATGGCCTCATTTGGGTTGGTTGAAGTGCTGAAGGGCAGAGGAGACTGGCGCGCAGTGGAGCTGTTTACACCCGGAAACCAGCATCGCGCGTACGCCATCCATTCCCTTTTAAGAAGAAAGCCCAGCCCATAATGAACACGGTGGCTGCTTCTTAAAGTCTGGATTATTCCACTTTGCCAGGGATCACATCTATGGTGAAAGCAGACGGTCTCAAAAAGCCTTGGAGCCAGTATTGGCAAGGCCATGCTTCAAAGAGGTGCAGAGTCTCTTTCTTCCATGTTATAAGATTTTGGCTTAAGAGTAATAATGATGCCCTTTACAGTAAATGTTGGCTTCTCCATACTTGCCTACTTGTCAGGAAGTGTTTGGATCAGGATTTCAAGTTCTTGATGTCAGTCTTTGTTTTAGGGAAACTGAGAGTCTCTCGTGACGCTGGTCTCAGCGGGGGCAGGTGGCAGAACAGGCAGCGATGCTCTGAAGTTGCAGCAAAGGAAGTATAGGTTGGATATTAGGAAAAGCTTTCTCACTGGAAGGGTAGTAAAGCACTGGAACAGGTTACCCAGAGAGGTCGTGGCATGTCCATCCTTGGAGATTTTCAAGACCCGGGTAGACAAAACCTTGGCTGGGATGATGTAGTTGGGGCTGGTCCTGCTTTGAGCAGGGGGCTGGACTAGATGTGCCCTCCTGAGGTCCCTTCCCACCTGATTTTTTTTTTTAATGATTCCAAGAAAAGGACAGCTGGGGTTGTCCTATGAACAAATCTCCTTTTATTTCACCTGGAAAGTTATTCCCCAATTCCAGCAGCGGTGGAAAGAAAACACCCCCTATCCTAAGATCATAAAATCTTAGAAAAGTAGGGCTGGAAGGGACTTCTGGAGGTCAGCTCATCCAACACCAGGATCATCCCTATCCAAACCATCCCATACACATTCTTGTTCCTAAAACTATACCATCAGCCCTGTGATACAACCACACAGGAAAATCAGGGGGACAGTGGTGGG